GGTGCGTATATATTTAGGATCGTTAGCTCTTCTTGTTGCAGTGATCCTTTTACCATTATGTAGTGTCCTTCTTTGTCTCTTTTGATCTTTGTTGCTTTAAAGTTTATTTTATCAGAGATGAGAATTGCAACTCCTGCCTTTTTTTGCTCTCTATTTGCTTGGTAGATCTTCCTCCATCCCTTTATTTTGAGCCTTTGTGTATCCTTGCATGTAAGATGGGTTTTCTGGATACAGCACACTGATGGGTTTTGGCTTTTTATCCAATTTGCCAGTCTGTGTCTTTTGATTGGGGCATTTAGTTTATTGACATTTAGGGATAGTATTGTTATTTGTGAATTTGATACTGTCAATTTGATGCTACCTGGCTGTTTTGTTGGTTAGTTGATGCAGATTCTTGATTGTGTTGATGCTCTTTTACCATTTGGTGTGTTTTTGGAGTGGCTGGTACTGGTTGTTCCTTTATATGTGTAGAGCCTCTTTCAGGAGTTCTTGTAGAGCAGGTTTGGTGGTGATGAAATCTCTGAGTGCTTGCTTGTTCACAAAGGATTTTATTTTTCCTTCACTTATGAAGCTTAGTTTGGCTGGATAGGAGATTCCGGGTTGAAAGTTCTTTTCTTTCAGGATGTTGAATATTGGCCCCCAGTCTCTTCTGGCTTGTAGGGTTTCTGCTGAGAGATCTGCTGTGAGTCTTATGGGCTTCCCTTTGTGGGTAACCCGACCTTTCTCTCTGGCTGCCCTTAGCATTTTCTCTTTCATTTCAACCCTGGTGAATCTGACGATTTTGTGCCTTGGGGTTGCTCTTCTTGCGGAATATCTTTGTGGTGTTCTCTGTATTTCCTGGATTTGAATACTGGTCTGCCTTGCTAGGTTCGGGAGGTTTTCCTGGATAATATCCTGAAGAGTATTTTCAAGCTTGGATTCATTCTCTTCATCACATTCAGGTACACCTATCAGACGTAGATTAGGTCTTTTCACATAGTCCCACATTTCTTGAAGATTTTGTTCATTCCTTTTTGCGCTTCTTTCTCTGTTCTTGCCTTCTCTTTTTATTTCATTGAGTTGATCTTCGACCTCTGATATCCTTTCTTCTGCTTGGTCAATTCGGCTGTTGATGCTTGTGCATGCTTCACGAAGTTCTCGTGTTGCGTTTTTCAGCTCCATCAATTGACTTATACTCCTCTCTATGCTGTCCATTCTCGTCAGCAGTTCGTCCAATCTTTTTTCAAGGTTCCTATTTTCTTTGCGTTGGGTTAGAACATGTTCTTTTAGCTCATTGTAGTTTCTTACTACCCACCTTCTGAAGTCTGATTCTGTCATTTCATCACCCTCCTTCTCCATCTGCTCTGGTTCCCTTGCTGGTGAGGAGTTGTGATCCCTTTTAGGAGGAGAGGTGTTCTGGTTTCGGGAGTTTTCATCCTTTTTGCGCTGGTTTCTTCCCATTTTTGTGGGTTTATCCACCTGTTGTCTGTCTCTGTCCCAGGGAGTTGGAGCTTTATGAGTTTCCGTTGCACTACTGCCTTTTTTGATTTTTCTTTCAGGTCTGACCCGCCCAGCTAGCAGCAATCCTAGCCACTGCCTGCCCGCAGGGGCTTTGCTGAGCTGCTGTGGGCTCTGCCCAGCTGCCCTGAGCTCTTCCCTGTAGTCCTTTTTATGTGGGCATAGTTAGAACTGTCTGGGCAATGGTGGCCCTGCCTCTGTTATGGCGGATTCTCTCTGTTGTGGCAGGTTTCCTTGGCAACGGCGGGTTGCCTTGGCAACGGCAGCCTGCCTCCGTAGTGGTGGAGAGTCTCAGTAATGGTGGAAGCCCCTCCCCCACGGAGCGGGACCATCCCGGTTCAGCTGTGCTTGGTTTGGAGGGCTCAACCCAGAGGGTTTCCAATTACTGTTTTTGTTTTCGTTGTTGTTGGGGGTGGAGGGGTGGGACCAATCAAGCCTGATCACCTGGCTCCCTGACTCAGAGTCTTTTCTTTTAAGTTGAAGGACCCCGCGTTCCGGTCGCTTGTTGAAAAGGCGCCGGGATCTCCAGTGCTGCGACTCACGGAGTCGGCTCAAACTGTGGCGCCGGCTCCTGGCGGATTTTTTGCCTAGGAATCTCCTGGCCTGACTCGCTATTTCAGATGAATGGCCTATTCTGCCGTTTCAGGGCTCTGCTCGCCAGGTAAGAAGGCTCCCAGACCAGTGGCTTTTGTACGGAGAACCGCAGCAACAGGGCGTGGTCACAGCAGCCGCGCGGGCCGAATCAGCCCCACGGGGGCCAAAACAGCCGCACTGGCTGGGACTGCGACGCTGGCGACCCCTCTGCCTGGGTATCTCCTGGTCTATGGGCAATAAGAGTTTGTCTGGAAATGCGGCGTCCACTCACCCTCTGCACTTTCACTGGGAGCTGAAGTCCTGAGCTGTTCTTAGGCGGCCATCTTCCCAGCATTCCCGAGTGTTGGCATTTTCCAGTGAGCACTAGAGAAGAAAAGGTAAGGAGTTCAAACCAGCAAGCTATGGTGATGGCTCTGGTGTCTGAGAGCATTGGGCAGGCACAATGTTGCTACAGAGTCTGGATTAAGAGTATGCCAAAGTGGCTCACCAGGTACTGCTTCTTGTGGATGTTGGAATGTACAGCCTTATATCTAATCTCTGGAGTTTCCCAGCAGAAATGGCATTTGTTTACCTCAGCAGCAAGATATACCATTGTTCTCCATACAATGGGCTGCAGTATCAGCCATAGGGTGAAAATTACTGTGGTGATTTCTAAATTACTACAGTGATTTCCACCCATGGCTGATACTGTTGCTTTTTGCCTTTCTCCTTTGCTCCTAGCCATCTCCTGACATTTCAGGTATGCCAATCTTACCAGCAGTTTTTCATGTGTAAGTATTTCCTATTTTGTTGCTGTATTGTGTTGTTAAAAATATTTTAATGAGCCCTTAAAGACTGTGTGATCTAATTTAACATACATGTGTGTGTATATATAGAGAAAAAGCTGTATAGCATATATTGCTATATATAGAAACACACACACACATATATATGTGTATATATATGTTTGTATATATATATGTGTGTGTGTGCATATATATGTGTGTGAATACATATATGTGTGTGTATATATATATAGCAGTGAAAAGAAGGCTGGTACCTCCTACTCTGCTATCTTGAAGACATTGCCTGATTAAATCAACTTTTAAGTATCACTTACCATGGTCAACTTCTGATCAAACTGACCAAACTTGTGTAAGGCTCTATATGCAATTTATAAATTTGATAACATCAGACAACATACAATGGCATCAAATATTATTCAAGACAAAATTTATAAAAATAAATATTATTCACAACAAATCTCTAACTGGTGCTAAATGCATAAAATACAAGAAAAATAGTTCCTAAAATGTGTATTTCACTTGCCTTTAATGCACTTGTCTTATTAATCTTTATTTTTTTTAATACTAAAGTTGAAGTGATTTACCAGTCCAAATATACATTACACTACTTATTTAAATTAGCTCTGATGTATAACAGTATACTCTTGTCATATTATAAATATCTCCAGATAGTCTCACATTAATTATAAACCAATTAGTTCAAATTTTCTATAGTGAAATTTACAGAATTTATCTTCCTCAAGTTTATTGGAGTCATAATTTGATCAATTTAATAAATATGTAATATAATTTTACACTTTAAGTTAAAGTGTCATATTATATGTAAAGAACATTATATCCTCTATACATATATAAACACATGTATCATTTGATTTGTCTTGAAGTATAAAATAAATTATCAATATACACCCAATTACATGAAGTTATTGAGTAACTAATATCTAAAAATATTACACTATATCTACATTATACTAAAATATAATTAATATGTCACATTCTATAGTATTTATTGGTGAAGTGGATGGGAGAATGCAATGCCAGCCATGAGAAGAATTAGAAAAGATGGCTTTATACAGTGCTACATAGACCAATGTATAAAAGTTTTTTGAAAACCTTGAGCAAACAATATTAAAAAAAATGGCTTGTCCTTTTAGTTCAACAAAATGTTCACATTTTAGAGTAGATGCTCTTGAAGTATCAGGCTCTCAAACACTAGAGAAGAAAAGATAATATGGTCAGTGTCTATTTTTAAGAAAGTTTTACTTCATTATCTCATTCAATGACATTTGCTACAGTTCTAGTATTTGCTCTCTGTTCTAGTTGATTAAACAGTAGAGAAACCATAAATTTTTGTCATACTGAATTTCCAATAGTTGGGTTGTTATAACCTACTTTTGTTACATTTTATTCAAACTCTTCAGTTCCTTTTTTAAAATTTAAGTATATTTACATAAAATAAATGTAAATGCACAAGTTAATGAGTTTTGGTAGGTTCATAAACCATTGTAAAGTATACTCTAATAAATGTGCCGAACATTTTTGTCACCACAGAATTATCCTTCATGTGCTTATACAGTCAATCCTCACCACCTACAGACAACTACTTTTCTGATATCTATTACTATATTTTAATTATTCAGTCTTGAAATTCATATAAATAGGATTATACAATGTGGACTGTATTCTTTTGAATTTTTTTGTTAAACATAACTTTTTTGAGATTCATCTACACTGTTGCATGTATCATTACCTCATTGTTTAAATTTCTTTGTAGCATCTCAGTACATAAATATACAATATTTGCTTATACATTCTCTTGTTTAATGAATATTTGGGATAATTCCAGTTTGGGGTTATTATAAATAAAGCTGTCATAAATATTTTTATACAAATTTTATTATGGACGGTTTTTGAATGAATAAATAAGAGTGGAATTTCTTGAACACAGATTACAAATGTGTTGAACATGTATACAAAATTGACACTATTTTAAGTGGTTATAGAAATTTAACTCCCACCAGTAATATATGACATTTCAAGTTTCTGTGCATTGATACCAACATATGATGTGATCAGGTTTAATATTTTTAAAAAATTTTTCTTGTAAGTTTTTTTTCACTCCTTCTCTGCCCCGTCGTCCTGACTTTCCCTCCCTCCTTCCCTCAGAGGATGTCCGGCTTCCAGATCAACCTCAACCCGCTCAAGGAGCTGCTCGGCTTCATCAAGGTCCTCGAGTGGCTTGCTTCTATCTTTGCTTTTGCTACCTGTGGAGGTTTTAAGGGCCAAACAGAAATTCAGGCGAGTTGTCCTCCCAAACTTACTGAAAATAAAACTACTACAGCTGTTTTTTGTTATCCATTCAGGTTGAATGAGGCATCATTTCAGCCACCTCCAGGTGTAAATGTATGTGACGTAAATTGGAAAAGTTTTGTCCTCATAGGTGATTACTCTTCTTCTGCACAATTCTATGTTACCTTTGCTGTCTTTGTGTTCCTGTACTGCATTGCTGCCCTTCTGCTTTATGTTGGCTACATGAACCTATATCTGGATAGTTGTAAACTTCCTATGATTGACTTTGTTGTTACTCTTGTTGCCACTTTTTTGTGGTTGGTGAGCACTTCAGCCTGGGCTAAAGCTCTGACAGATATTAAAATAGCTACTGGTCACAATATTGTTCAGGAAATTTTGCCTGGTCAGAATAAAGAAGCCCTATGTTACTTTAGCTCTGTGACCAGTATGGGATCTCTAAATGTATCTGTGATATTTGGCTTTCTGAGTATGACACTTTGGGGAGGAAATGCTTGGTTTGTGTATAAGGAGACCAGCCTACACAGTCCATCAAATACGTTTGCCCCACATAGCCAAGGAGGTATTTCACCTCCTGCTGGAATATAATTAAAGGCAGAAATACACTGTATGAAATATATGTTGATACTATGACATGTTGCCAACATCTGGAGAAGCATTATTTGTTTCTAATAAAAGTAATGGCTTTGTTAATATATTGGTGGGTTTAAAATTTTGCTGCTTTTTTACATAAAGTCTGTGCCTTTCCTAGAAATTTAAGATGTAAATGTATTCTCACAGGCAAATTTGAAAGTTCAGGGTCCTATTATGAGATGATACACATTTTTTAATAAACAGTAATTTTTTCACTAAACTGTTTGCCTTCTAAAGTGTTTACACCTTAAGACTTAACTTGTGTCTTCATTCAGAAAACAATTATATTGTCATATCATAGTAGGAAGAAAAATCTTTATTTGGATTATACACTACTGTAAGTTTGTACAGATCACATACCTAAAGACCTGCCGTTGCTCAAAAAGCCTTGATTACATAAATTGTATTTAGGAAAAACATATTTAGTTCAAAATATATATGTAACATTGCTTATGTTATGATTTTTTTAATTGCAAAGACTTGGGATATATTTCTTTCTGTTTTACTAAATGACTGGTGGTACTTAATAGGTGTACTAAAATTGTGTTAGGAGCAGGGATTTGGAAATTTCTGATAGATGTGTAGTTAATTCAGTAAATCTGTTGATGATCTTCTAGTGGTTTAATAGGCTTGCTATGTAAGTAGAAAGAATATGGCTCAATTAGATATTTTTATATGTATGGGCATTACTCTTAGTGATATTTGTTTCCTGTCCTTTGTTGCTCAGGCTGTTTAAGTGCAGGCTGAGACCCAGCCTCTTTGTAAGCAGAGTAAAATAATCCATCTTTTTTTTGTAGACTCTATCCACAGGGTTAAAAAAATTAAGATTGCATTCCAGGTTTGAAATTTACCATTGAGAGTTAATGTAGTTATCACCACGAAACCTGCTCTACAAGAACTCCTGAAAGAGGCTCTACACATATAAAGGAACAACCAGTACCAGCCACTCCAAAAACACACCAAATGGTAAAAGAGCATCAACACAGTCAAGAATCTGCATCAACTAACCAACAAAACAGTCAGGTAACATCAAAATGACAGTATAAAATTCACACATAACAATACTGTCCCTAAATGTAAATGGACTAAATGCCCCAATCAAAAGACACAGACTGGCAAATTGGATAAAAAGCCAAAACCCATCAGTGTGCTGTATCCAGGAAACCCATCTTACATGCAAAGATACACAAAGGCTCAAAATAAAGGGATGGAGGAAGATCTACCAAGCAAATGGAGAGCAAAAAAAAGCAGGAGTTGCAATTCTCATCTCTGATAAAATAGACTTTAAAGCAACAAAGATCAAAAGAGAGAAAGAAGGACGTTACATAATGGTAAAAGGATCAATGCAACAAGAAGAGCTAACAATCCTAAATATACACGCACCCCATACAGGAGCACCCAGATACATACAGCAAGTTCTTAGTGACTTACAAAGAGACTTAGACTCCCACATAATAATAGTGGGAGACTTTAACACCCCATTGTCAATATTAGATCAACCAGACAGAAAATCAACAAAGATATCCAGGACCTGAACTCAGACCTGGAACAAGCAAACCTAATAGACATTTGCAGAACTCTCCACCCCTAATCTACAGAATATACATTCTTCTCAGCACCACATCACACCTACTCTAAAATTGACCACATAATCAGCAATAAATCACTCCTCAGCAAATGCAAAAGAACGGAAATCATAACAAACAGTATCTCAGACTACAGTGCAATCAAGTTAGAATTCAGAATGCAGAAACTAACTCAGAACCACACAGCTTCATGGAAACTGAATAATTTGCTCTTGAATGTTGACTGTATAAACAATGAAATGAAGGCAGAAATAAAGATGTTCTTCGAAACCAATGAGAACAAAGACACAACATACCAGAATCTCTGGGACACATTTAAAGCAGTCTCTAGAGGAAAATATATAGCAATGAGTGCCCACATGAGAAGAATGGAGAGATCTAAAATTGACACCCTATCATCAAAATTGAAAGAGCTAGAGGAGCAAGATCAAAAAAACTCAAAACCTAGCAGAAGACAGGAAATGACTAAGATCAGAGCAGAACTGAAGAAAATAGAGACACAAAAAACTCATCCAAAAAATCAATAAATCCAGGAGCTGGTTTTTTGAAAAGATCAACAAAATAGACAGACCACTAGCCAGATTAATAAAAAAGAAAAGAGAGAATAACCAAATTGATGCAATAAAAAAGATAAAGGGGATATCACCACAGATTCCACAGAAATCCAAACCATCATTAGAGATTATTACAAACAACTCTATGCACATAAATTAGTAAACCTGAAAGAAATGGATAAATTCCTGGACACCTGCATCCTCCCAAGCCTAAACCTCGAAGAAGCCGAAACCCTGAATAGGCCAATAAAAAGGTCTAAAGTCGAGGCAGCAATAAAGAGCCTACCACCCAAAAAAAGCCCAGGTCCAGATGGGTTCACAGCCGAATTCTACCAGACACACAAAGAGGAGCTGATAGCATTCCTTCTGACACTATTCCAGAGAATCCAAAAAGAGGGAATCCTTCCCAAATCATTTTACGAGACAAACATCATCCTGATAGCAAAACCCGGCAGAGACTCAACAAGAAAAGAAAATTTCAGGCCAATATCCATGATGAACATAGATGCAAAAATCTTCAATAAAATACTGGCAAGCCGATTGCAACAGCATATCAAAAAGCTCATCCACCATGATCAAGTAGGATTCATCCTGGGGATGCAAGGCTGGTTCAACATACGTAAGTCCATAAACGTAATTCACCACATAAACAGAACCAAAGACAAAAACCACATGATTATCTCGATTGATGCAGAGAAGGCTTTTGACAAAATTCAACAGCCCTTTATGCTAAAATCCCTCAATAAACTAGGTATTGACGGAACGTATCTCAAAACAATAAAAGCTATTTACGACAAACCAACAGCCAATATCATACTGAATGGGCAAAAACTGGAAGCATTCCCTTTGAAATCTAGCACTAGACAAGGATGCCCTCTCTCACCACTCCTATTCAATATAGTACTGGAAGTTCTAGCCGGAGCAATCAGGAAAGAAAAAGAAATAAAGGGTATCCAAATTGGAAAGAAGGAAATCAAATTGTCTCTATTTGCAGATGACATGATTGTATATCTGGAAGACCCCATCATCTCAGCCCAAAATCTCCTGAAACTGATAAACAACTTCAGCAAAGTCTCAGGATAGAAAATCAACATGCAAAAATCACAAGCATTCCTATACAGCAGTAACAGACTTAAAGAGAGCCAAATCAAGAACGAACTGCCATTCGCAATTGCTACAAAAAGAATAAAATACCTAGGAATACAACTAACAAGGAACGTAAAGGACCTCTTCAAGGAGGACTACAAGCCACTGCTCAAGTAAATAAGAGAGGACACAAGCAGACGGAGAAACATTCCATGTTCATGGTTAGGAAGAATCAACATCGTGAAAATGGCCATACTGCCCAAAGTAATTTACAACTTCAACACTATTCCCATCAAGCTACTAAATGACCTTCTTCACAGAACTGGAAAAGAACACCATAAACTTCATATGGAACCAAAAGAGAGCCCGCATAGCCAAGTCAATTCTAAGCAAAAAGAACAAAGCAGGAGGCATCACACTACCGGACTTCAAGCTATACTACAAGGCTACAGTAATCAAAACAGCATGGTACTGGTACCAAAACAGAGATATAGACCAATGGAACAGAACAGAGGCCTCAGAGGAAATACAACATACCTACAACAATCTGATCTTCGACAAACCTGACAAAAACAAGCAACGGGGAAAGCACACCCTGTTTAATAAATGGTGTTGGGAAAACTGGCTAGCCATGCGCAGAAAGCAGAAACAGGACCCCTTCCTGACACCTTACACCAAAATTAACTCCAGATGGATTAAAGACTTAAACATTAGACCAAATTCCATAAAAACCTTAGAAGAAAATATAGGAAAAACCATTCAGGACATAGGCATAGGCAAGGACTTCATGACCAAAACACCAAAAGCAATGGCAACAAAAGCCAAAATAGACAAATGGGACCTAATCAAACTCCACAGCTTCTGCACGGCAAAAGAAACAGTCAGTAGAGTGAATCGGCAACCAACAGAATGGGAAAAAATATTTGCAGCCTACCCATCTGAAAAGGGGCTGATATCCAGAATTTACAAAGAACTAAAGCAGATCTACAAGAAAAAAACAAACAAGCCCATTCAAAAATGGGCGAAGGATATGAACAGATACTTTACAAAAGAAGACATACAGGAGGCCAACAAACATATGAAAAAATGCTCATCATCACTGGTCATCAGAGAAATGCAAATCAAAACCACATTGAGATACCATCTCACACCAGTTAGAATGGCGATCATTAAAAAATCGGGAAACAACAGATGCTGGAGAGGATGTGGTGAAATAGGAACACTTTTACACTGTTGGTGGGAACGTAAATTAATTCAACCATTGTGGAAGACAGTGTGGCGATTCCTCAAGGACCTAAAAATAGAAATCCCATTTGACCCAGCAATCCTATTACTGGGTATATATCTAAAGGATTATAAATCATTCTACTACAAGAACACGTGCACACAAATGTTCATTGCAGCACTGTTTACAATAGCAAAGACCTGGAACCAACCCAAATGCCCAACGATGATAGACTGGATAGGGAAAATGTGGTACATATACACCATGGAATATTACGCAGCCATCAAAAACGATGAGTTCACGTCCTTTGTAGGGACATGGATGAACCTGGAAACCATCATTCTCAGCAAACTGACACAAGAGCAGAAAATCAAACACCGTATATTCTCACTCATAGGCGGGTGTTGAACAATGAGAACATATGGACACAGGGAGGGGAGCACTACATACTGGGGTCCGTTGGGGGGAAATGGGGGAGGGGCGGGTGCGTGGGGAGGTGGGAAGGGATAGCATGGGGAGAAATAACAGATACAGGTGAGGGGACGGAAGGACAGCACACTACACTGCTATGTGTGTACCTATGCAACAATCATGCATGTTCATCACATGTACCCCAAAACCTAAAATGCAATTAAAAAATTATATATATATATATATATATATATATATATATATATAT